TAGACTCAGATGACTCTGGAGAGGAGAGTGAGGTTGATGACTTCGTACATCTCTTCCTCATTAAATCCAATTCACTTGCAAGTCAAGACAAGACCCTCCTGATGGTCTGCTCAGTGGTCCTCTTTGAGAACAAAGGATGAACAACAACAATCCCTGTGCACTCTGCACCATAGCTAAACTGGACTACTCTCCCTCCCCAAATAACCCTATGGTTTCCTTACTTTATGTCTATTGTTTGGGATGTTATAGTGGGTATTACTTTCATGTATAAGTTGGACTAGATGTCCTTTTCAACTCACAGATTGTATGCTTTTGCCCCCATGGTTCCTCAAGCCTGAACAACCCTTCCTAATTCTTCTTTAACTGTTGATTCCTTGCCTTTAAAAACCCAATTAAAATAGTATCTCTTTCTTTTATGAACCTTTCCCTTACTTCCCCTTTTGGTAATGGCCCCTCATTCCTTTCCCCATTCTCCACCCAGTCTCTCATAACACTTTGTTTTACACTTTTCTAAAGTACTTGCTCTTTGTTTTGCACTCTAATTGTCTATCCATGTGCCTTATCTCACGAGTGTGTTTAGAAGACTGGTTCAAATCATGTCTCTACTATTTATAATTTCTGGGACTGTGAAGTTGCTTCATATCTTTCATCTTCAGTTTCTTCATCTATTAAATGAGGAGATTGTACTAAATAGGTTTTAAAGATTCCATCTGACCCTAAATCATATGATTCTATAATCAATGATTTGTTACAAGCAATAGAACAAACATACTCTCAGTAGGACATTGCCCTAATGTTCTTCTACTGAATTTGGTGACAAAGAGAGCCCACTTCTTTCCTTCAGAAGCTAATGTTGACCAATTCTCTCTTTATCTCGGGTATTTTCACTTCCGGACAATCAATCAACAAGCATTTATTGCAAATGTATTTACTATGTCCCAAGTGCAAAGGATGCTTGATGGGCGGAATCACAATTTTGAGAGAGAAGGAAAATGGCATAAGTAAGGAAGGAGCTAGGGAAGGGAGAAAATTTAATTGATACTAGGAAGTATGTGGACTTTAAGGAAAATTCCTGAGAATAGATTTTTAAATCCTCTAAAATAATATCTGTGAATTGACAATATAATTTTTAACAATGGCCCTAAAGATGTAAGATATGAGAATTCTGTAAATAAGATGAAAGTGGATTCCCTCTCCTAGGCCCAGTTGGATTTACCTTGGCACAAGGACAACTATAACAACCACTTAACAGCAGACAGTAAAAGAGAAAGAGAGATGGATTGAAATTTGCTCTTCTCCCAAGAAAGTAGTGAGAAAAATACAAGTGAAAAGCAGAACTACTCATCACTGAGCTGCCAGGAAGGCCATCTCCAAAGAAGATAAAAGAGCAGAGCTTCTCTGCCTTCCAAGAAAAGTGAGAGCTTTCCAGAAAAAGGTCTCAGAAAATCTGTGATTTTGTTCTATCTGCTCCTTCTGGGGTAGTTAGGACATGTCACTTTCTTATGCTTTTTTTCCCATTTGGAAACAGTTTATTTTAGTTTAGACAAATGTATTTCTTTTTAGTGCATTAAAGCATTTTAAAAAAATATATGTTATTGATGTGTTTGTCTTTCAAGAGGCAATGAAGGAGGCATGGTGGAATGAGACCTGGCCTTAGAGGCAGGAAAAGCTGGATTCAGATTTTCTAACAAGCACTGGCCTTGTGACCATGGGCTTAACCACTTAACCTCTTAGTGCTATAGGCCACGACTTCTCAAACTTTTGGTCTCAGGACCCCTTTATGCCCTTAAAAATTATTGAAAACCCCCAAAATCTTTGTTCGTGTGATTTATATCTATTAATATTTGTCATATTAGAAATTTAAATTAATGAGACTCTAAAATATTTACTAATTCATTAAAAATAACAAATCCATATTTGTATTAGTATAATAACATTTTAATGAAAAATAACCATTTTCCAAATCAAAAATTAGTGAGAAGAGTGGTATTTTTATATATTTTTATAAATCCAGTGTCTGGCTTAATAGAAGACAGCTGGATACGAATCTGTTTTTGCATTTGATCTGTTACAATATGCCATTTTGGTTGTCAAATATGAAGAAAGTCTGGCCTCATACAGATATATAATTGGAAAAAAGAGGAGTATTTTAATATACAAATATTGTCTTAGTATTGTCATGAAAATAGTTTTGACCTTGTGGAACCCCCGTAAAGGTCTCTGAGATCCCTGGAAGTCCAAGGACCACACTTTGAGAACCACTCCTGGGCACTAGAGGTGCAGCAGATAGAGCATTGGAGCCAGAGTCAAGTAGATCTTAGTTCAGTTATGTTCTCAAGACACTTAATAGCTGGGAGAGCCTAAGCAAATAACTTCTTTTAAGTCAACCACCTAATTTCTGCCTTCCTCAGTTTCCTCATGTCTAAATTATCAATAATAACATTTCCTACCTCCTAGAGGGTTTGTAAGGACAAAATGAGATAATATTTACAAAGTGCTTTGCAAACTTATTATTATGAGGCAGCTAGCTAGATAAAGACCAAGAGTCAGGAAGACTCCAGTTCAAATGAGATGATATTTCTGAAGCTCTTTGCAAATCTTAAGAATGCTGTATAAATGCTGTTATTACTGTTATTTTAGGCAAATCTAGTCTTGCTGAGAACATGCCTCCCTGCATTGGAAGAGTTCCCTCATATCACTGAAGCTATAGGTTCAGTCCTTCTCCCTCTGTTTTGTCCTTCCGTCACTTATTTCAAACCTCACTTCATTCTAGATTGAATCCTCTGTAGTGACAAAGGAAAAAAAAAATCTGATAATGTGTTCTGTGCTGGAGTCATCCTACTTAGATTCCTTCTTACTAAATCTGTAATTCTATAGCTCCTCACCTTGAGGGCTGGCGGCAATATCATACCTCCTGCATTGCAAGCTCTTATTTCCTTTGTATCTTCCATGCTTAGCCAAGAGCTTTGCATATAGTAAGCACTTAATAAGTGTTTTTTCAGAGGCAGCTCGGTGGCACAGTGGATAGAGCACCAGCTTAGAATTCAGGAGGACCTGAGTTCAAATCTGGCCTCAGACCAAACACTTGACACTTACTAGCTGTGTGACCCTAGGCAAATCACTTAACCCCAACTGCCTTAAAAAAAAAAGTGTTTTTTCACTATCATCTTAATGATAGGAATGTCTTCTTCACAGGACAGCCTCCAATAAGGGAATCAGAGGGATTCCCTTTCCTCTCTAGTTACTTTGTACTGCCCCCTTCCCTGAGACCTTTGTACTGGCCAGGCAGTGCTCCTCTCCCCATTCCAAGAAGCTGGAAAGGTAACTTGGTATCAAATATAATTATGCCATTGATAAGGAAAGCCGCATATTTGGGTTTCTTAGCAGGGGTTGAGTTTTCTTTAAACTCTGAATCTATTCTAGGCAGCACTGCATACAGTAGGCACTCCTTAAACATTCCTCATTGAATTCAAACCTTGAATTCAGGTTGATGAAAGAAATTGCTTGAAAGATAAAAGTATCATCAGGAAAGGATGTGGGCAAGAGTAAGAAATAACAGTGAATATTAAAGCCCCTAAGGTAAGGCTTTCTGCATGTTGGATATATCCTCCCTGGAGTATTTACGAGAGGACGTGGACGAGTATAGCCCAGGGTCACAGTACTTGGATGAGTTTCAGTCAGTGCTGTCCATTGGAAGGAATGTCTTATCACATTGATTAAGTCACAGATCCACTGAAGGATTGAAGCGAAATGGCTCACACAATGGTAAAGCACAATCACATACACGTAGAAAATCAGCTGCTGATGTTTAAAAAGTTACTCAAATGAGTAATTCATGAAAATGAATTTGTAACCATGTTTATTGAGGAGGGTCATACAGTGATGCAGATGGCCAACTATTTATGCCTGCCAGTGTTGTCTGTGTTATCCCATAAATCCACCCAATGTACAAGTACTTTGTGGCTTCTATGTTGAAGCCTGCTCACAATTTCCGTGAGCCTTTCCATTGCCCTCTCTGCAATATTCATTTTTATTGCTTCACAGGTGGTGATGTATGAAAAGTTGTGTTCTAAAAACTCTTTTTTAAAGTTAGTTGTTTGGAACTTGGAACTCATCGAGTTCAGGTACATTAAGGGTTGGTTTAAAACACAAATCACCATTTATAACATGTCTCTAGGAAAATTTCTTTCAGGGCACAGAGGCAGAAGAAGATTCAGCAGCACTGATCATGCATCTCTGGCTTCCAATAGCCATTTCCAACCCAGAGCAATAGCATCCATAGCAAGTTTGGAATAAGTGGGGAGGAAGAAAGACTAGAAAACGTGCATTTATGTAGATCCTAATGTGTACCAGGAATTGTGCTTAAGTTCTTTACAAATATTATCTCATTGGATCCTCACAACAGTCCTGGAATTAGGTGTTATTATTATCATTCTCATTATACACTTGAAGAAATTGAGGCTGAAAGTGTGACTTGCCTAGGGTCACATAGCTATTAAATGAAGCCAGGTTTGAGCTCAAATTCTTCTGTCTCCAAGCCCAGAACATTGTATGCTGCATGGTCTAATTGTGGCTAGGTGGGGTACCATCGGTATTTCTTCATCTCTTCTTTTTCCTGCTAAAACCACAGTAGTCCATCTCTGGATAGCAAGTGGTGAGAAAGGAAAGTAGTGGTTGAAAGAATACTCATTCTCTTGAGTTGCAAGGGAACTTCTTCCATTGTGGTTTTGGACTGACTAAATGTGTATGCATGTTTGGGTGGTACCTGAGATAGATGTATTCTCCAGGCATACTGCAGCATTTCAACATTTCAACATTTCAGTGATCTGTTATTTCATTGGTATAACTACTGCCTTTGCTAGTGCAAAATGTAAACCACCCCCCCC